GGTGCGCTCGTTTCGACTATTTGGAGGCAGGTGGAAAGAATTGTTAACGTGCACCGATTCTGCTGAAACTTGGCATGTGCTGTAATTTTTTATAGGATTAGGGAATTATGAAATATGGTAAAGATGGGCTCATTGCCATGCCTTCCACCCTTCTGGGCGGAAAGGTTTAATTTAATCCGATTTCGATGAAATTAAGTTTGCACTATCTCTTTTATTAGGAAAACATAAGTTTAAAAAAATAATATAAAAAAAACTTTTTAATATACAACGCTTTTATAAATGGACTAAAAAGTAGAAAATAATATTTCTCAGTCCCATAGAATTTGTTTTGATAACTTTTGATTTTGAAATTTTAGCAAAAGTCATTGGCTGAATTTCTTTATTCATTCTGAACGTTTGGAATAAACTTTTTTGTTTACTTATTCTTTAGAACGTTCCTGATGATATGTTAATGTATATTTCAAACACATTCTGTTTATTCCGGCTGTGAAATGAGATTATCCGGAATGTATAAAGAAACGCAGCCATTATAAACAATCTATGAAATTGAAAATGAAAAACGTGGAGCGCATGCAATACAAAGCATTCGATTTAATTGACAATAGTCAAACTACACAACGTAGACCTAAAATTTCTACAGCGAAAGTAGAACTTTGAAATCGATTTTAAGCGGTCGTTATTCATATACCCACATACATACATACATATATTACTTTTCATATCAATTCAAGTGTATTACATGCGCCCCACACTTTTCATTTTCAATTTCATAGATTGTTTATAATGACTTTTGCTAAAATTTCAAAATCAAAAGTTATCAAAACAAATTCTATGGGACTGAGAAATATTATTTTCTACTTTTTAGTCCATTTATAAAAGCGTTGTATATTAAAAAGTTTTTTTTATATTATTTATTTTCTACTTTTTAGTCCTGTCTGAATAAAATTTTGCAATAGATATTAAAATAATTCAACGATATTAATAGAAAGGTGCACACACATGCATTTACATATGTATGTACATACAAACGAGCACCAATTAATTTTATTTAAAGAAATGGCGAGTCGTCTATTTCCGCTGTAGCAAAAAAAGTTGATGAAAGCGTTGTAATATGGGCAGATTGGTTGACTATAATGTCTACATGTCGAAAAAAAAATGGGCTCACTCAATAAATGTGACACACTTTTGGTTAATTTTTGTTTTCTGTCTTCCACTCTGAGAAATACAAGGTTATACTTAAAAATTACACACAATTCTCCCAATTCTTGGACTGATTGTTTAATTTTTCAAAAAATTATTTTCTCGAAATTACGCAAAAATAAGCTGAAAATTTAAAAATTGAGAAAATCGAATATTACATATATATGTATTTGCAGTCGCGGGGGTCAAGGCTCTTGATATTGCTTCATACGTGTTGTAATGTTCTGAGTCAGGAGCGGATGGCTCAAGACCGACCATACGTGGCGACGAGTCACACCCTGCGAGAGGTGCCCCTGCTTTTACTGAATATGGCGGATCTAGAGAGGACAACTCGATAAAACCCGTAATTCCGAGTGTCATCCGTACCGTGCTTATGGGATGAATGGCACTACGTAAGTGTGTCTTATAACGGTGGCCTCCAGATACCTGGCGTCCTCTGGTTGTAAGAAGTCTTGCTCGGGATATTGGGGGCTATGTCCCAGCTGACATCCCTTCCCCCATACTTGTGGGACACACATGAACAGTAAAAATAATATAAATCAAAAGCCAGAAGGAGCTGCACAGCTCCAAACAATGGCCAATGCTGGCCTTTCGACTTCTGTCGAAACAGAAACCATCGCTACAGAACTACTGGGGGCGCATAGTCCCTCGTATAACGTAGAGATGGTGGATACTAGCGTGAGACAGGATGCAAGTCCCGTCAGAACGCTATCTGATATCTCGCCGGAGGATGAGCAGAAGTTGCTTGCCTCTCCGGTGAACAACCCATCTCACCAAGCTCGAGAGCGGGAGCGGCTTAGCGGAGCCGGTCGGAAACGCCTCAAGCGGTACATAGAAAGGGGAATGAGCTATGAGCAGGCTAGAGAAAAAGCCAAAGAACCCGTTGGCCCACCACGGAGGGAAAAGAAAACTCTCCAAAAAAGACCTAGGTCTGATAGCTCTACCCCGCAGAGGCGATCCCCGAAGAAATTTGCCAAATCCAGTGAGGGATCTGCAGGGGGCAGGCCAGCTGGGACTGCATCTGTGCCCACCGGGGAGGCAACTGTGCCGCATGCACCTGCAGATTGTCGCGGGGAGCCGGTTTCATTTAGGGATGCACTGTGCGGAGTGAAGCTGGGTTTAGTCCCAGAGGACTATCCAACCACAGTGTGGTCAACGGATGAGCTCAAAGCTATCCAAAATGCCATCCTCAGGGCGGTCAGGAGCAACACAGTTAGCGCTGTAAAGCCTATCTTCAAGGGTTGCACCTTCCACTCGGGATGGCTATCCATCAGTTGCAGAGATGCTGCGACCGCGGGGTGGATACGGAACACTGTTCCAAAGCTGGCACCATGGAAGGGGGCGAAGATGAAAGTGGTCGAGGAGGCAGAAACACCTCGCCGCATCATTCTTGTGGGACTCTTCCCGGAGCTGGACAGCTCTGCCAGTGAGGATGCGCTCAGTCTGCTTCAGGCACAGAATGACGGCCTGAGAATTCCGGACTGGCGCATTCTGAATCGAGTACGCAGGTCAACAATGGCGGAAATCACCATTGCAGTTGACCCTTTATCAGCGGACACGCTAAAGCACCGCGGGAACGTGGTAAACTATGGCTTTGGCGTAGTAAAACTTAGGGAGAAACCCAAACCGTCGATGCCCGTGGTAGACAAAGATGCCGCCGACACCGAATACCCTAACTCGGAGGAGCAACCTTGCTGCTCCAAAGACGTCATCGTAGCTCCCAGGCAGCTACCCAATGACACGCAAGTGCAGCAGAATCATCGGAGGTTGGCACAGAGCTACACGTAGCATACAAAGCTCCAACAACGCCTCCGAAAACAGCAACAACAACATGCCCGACCCTACAACAGGTGCTGGAAGAAGCCCAAGAAAGCGTCGGACCCATCGCATCCCCAAAGCCTGCAAAACGGCCACCACTACATGGCAGCTCCAAAGCGTCTATGTCCAGCCGCAAAGGCAAGGGAGATGCAAGGACGGCCGAAGAAGCGGTCTTGCTGAAGGGCAACAGGGGGAAGAAGGTGGCTGCTCGCGGCCGAAAAGACCGCAAGTAATGGCACCTCACCCCAAAAACTCCACAAATATGAGGCACATTAAATGCCTCCAAGTGAACCTTCACCACGCGAAAGCAGCATCGGATGTTTTACATAGGAGGTTCACAAACGAAGGTTTAGGTGTAGCCTTCATCCAGGAACCCTGGATATTAAGAGGTGACGTCAAAGGCCTTAATATAAAGGACGGTAAGATCATCTATGCCGCCAGCCGTCGCCCAAGAGCGGCGATGCTATTATGTAACAAACTAACGTTTCTCCCTCTTTCACAGTTCATTACGGCAGATCTCGTTGCGGTATGGGCCAAAATTCCTACTCCTAGGGGGGTGCAAGAGGCAGTACTTGCCTCCGCGTACTTCCCGGGTGAGGAGGAGATAGCCCCGACACCTGAGGTAAAGGCGCTTACGGATCACTGCCGGCAGAGTGGTATACCCTGGATCCTCTGCTGTGATGCAAATGTCCATAGCACTGTCTGGGGGAGCACCGACACCAACAAAAGGGGTGAGTACCTCCTTGAGTTTATAAGTAGTTATAATATAAGTATTATAAACCATGGCAATGAACCAACGTTCAGGAACGCTATTAGAGGGGAAGTCTTAGATCTTACTCTAAGTAGTCAGAACATGGCAGCGTCTGTCACAAACTGGCGCGTCTCAGGGGAGGTATCAATGTCGGACCATATGCACATAGAATTCGACATTGGCCACTTTCCTGAGCATGAACTAGTTTTTAGAAATCCCAGAAAAACGAACTGGGAATTCTTTCGCTTTATCATGGAAGAAGGTGGAAACAGCCATGGTGGTCAAATTACGACTGCGCACGAGCTTGAAACTGAAGCTGAACAGCTTCATTCAGACATTGGAATAGCTTTCAATAGTAGCTGTCCCCAAGGAAAGGTAAAATCCAAACGTGATGTGCCTTGGTGGAGCAAGAAGCTTGAGCAAATGAGATGCCAAGCCAGAAAACTATTCAATAGAGCAAAGAATACGGGTGATTGGAATCCGTACAAACTTGCACTAACTTCTTACAACAAAGAATTGCAGAAATCCAAAAGAGCTAGCTGGCGAAACCACTGCGAGGAAATAAAGAGCCTCCCAGAGGCAGTACGCCTCCAAAAAGCTCTAAATAGGGAACACAAAAATACGATCGGCACTCTAAAGAAACCAGATGGTAGTTATACTCAGCATCCGGGAGAGACTTGCAGACTTCTGCTAGACACTCACTTCCCGGGCTGCAAAGCGGGCTATTATCTACCGGAATTGGGTGTCCCACCACTGAATAAGAACCAATTTGCCTATCAACCAGGCAAGTCCACTGAGACTGCCATTCACAGCCTTACATCGAAAATCGAAAAGGCTCTGGAGTCTAAGAACATAGCCCTTTGTGCCTTCATTGACATTTCAGGGGCTTTTGACAACACGTCATACAGGGCAATAAGAGATGCCCTGATATGCAAGGGAGTGAGCCCCCTCATAATAAATTGGGTGCTTTCTATGCTAAAAACAAGGAAGATCAGGATGGAGCTGGGAGGCACGAAAGAATCCGTTTACCCGGAGGAAAAAGTTATCCATGACAGAATTGACTCTGGGCGGCACTAGAATAGGGCTCTCAAATGAAGCAAAATACCTGGGGGTGTGGCTAGATAAGACACTCACCTGGAATGTACATTTGGATGCAACCGTAAACAAGGCAATGAGAGCCTTCTTCGCATGCAAGCGACTTTACGGGAAGACATGGGGACTCTCCCCCAAAATGACTTACTGGTCATTCAACACAGTTGTGAAGCCGATAGTCACCTATGCATCCTTGGCATGGTGGACAAAAGCGACACAAAGAACTGCTAGTGCAAAACTAAGCAAACTACACCGAATGGTGTGCATTGGTATAACAGGGGCTATGCGGACCTGTCCTGCTGATGCACTTAGTGCTCTTGTAGGCATACCGCCCTTCCCAATTCTAATAGAGAGGGAGGCCAGTCTCTCGGCACTGAGAATCCTAAACACTTCCGAGTTAAAAACCGGAAACATGACAGGTCATATGAAGGTCCTTATGAAATTCACAAATGACCCCATAATGCATATGAGGGACTCAGTAGCTCCGATACTAGTAATTTCTAGGAATTTCAAGGTATCTATTGCGGACCGAGCATCCTGGAGCACAGGAAACCCCTACATCAAACCCGGAGCTGAAGTTTGGTACACTGACGGATCAAAACTTGAAGATGGAAAAACTGGAGCTGGTATATTTGGGCCGAATTTTAAAAGATCGATACCAATGGGCAGCTACCCCACCATTTTCCAAGCAGAGATTCATGCGATCGATATCTGTGGCAGAGAATGCCTCAGAAGAGGCACATCCTCTAAAAACATCTGCATTATGTCGGACAGTCAGGCTGCCTTGCTAGCACTGAGGTCCCACATAATAACATCCAAACTAGTGTACGACTGCCTCAACACCTTAAACGGTCTTGGAAGCAAGAACACAGTATTACTGGGCTGGGTGCCGGGGAACGAGGGCCATGACGGCAATGAACAGGCGGACCGCCTAGCAAAACACGGAGCTACCACACTATTCCATGGCCCGGAACCCTTCTGCGGGCTCACCAAAGCCCACCTAAGGGAGGTCATAAACAAGTGGGTCGACAAAAAAATTCGAAAGGCACTGGAATGAATATCCGGGGCAAAGACAAGCTAAGCGGTTCATCTGTCCATCACAAGAAG